GCCTGCAGGAAGAGATCCATCTTAACAACTTTTTAAAAGCTGTTTAAGATGGTCAAATGATAAGATCTGGCAGGCCATTCCATAGTCTGAGACCGATAGCCGAAAAGGTCCTCTGGGCAGTTGCAGATAATCTAGTTTTTATAGACAGCAATAAGTTCTTCCCATAGGACCTCAGTGCATGGGGTGGATTATATGGAAAGAGGCGGTCCCGAATATAGGTTGGAATCAAGCCATTTAGGGCTTTAAAGGTGATGACCAACACCTTGTACTGCACCCGGCAGCCAGTGAAGCGATCTTAAAATATGTGTTATGTGGTCTCTTCTGGTTTTGCCTGAGACCAGCTTGGCTGCCATATTCTGTACCAATTGAAGTTTCCAAAGTAGGCACAAGGGTAGCCCCATGTAGAGTGCTTTGCAGAAATCGAGATGAGAGGTTACCAGTGCATGTATCACAGTTTCAAGGTCCCTAATCTCCAGGAAAGGGCGCAGCTGGCGTATCAGTTGAAACTGATAACAGGCACTCCTGACCACCGCATTCACCTCGTTTGTCATCTGAAGTGACGGATCTAGGAGCACCCCCAGATTGTGAACACAGTCCTTTGAGGAGACTGTGACCCCATCTAGGACTGGAGATTGTATGGCAATACCTGGGTTCAGGACCGTTACCGTTAGTACCTCCATTTTGTCTGGATTCAGTTTCAATCTTTTTCCTCATCCAGTCCATTACTGCTTTAAGACATTCATTGAGAGGGGAGATGCCATCTGAAGTCAAAGCTATAGACCGAGACATGGAGAAATATATTTGGGTGTCATCAGCCTACTGATAACACCCCGCCCCATGTCTCTGGATGATCTCTCCCAATGGCTTCATATATATGTTAAATAGCATCAGGGACATGATGGCGCCCTGAGGGACACCACAGTTAAGCTCCTTTTTAGCTGAGCAACTGTCCAATTTAATTTAATTACACAGTCACCCTCCTCTTTTCACATAATTTTACAAGGATGTATATAAAGCAGGGGTAGGCAACCTAAGGCCCGGGGGCCGGATGCGGCCCCCGAGGCCTTTGGACCGGCCCCAGGCCAGTCCTGCCGCTGCCGCCACCCCCCCGCTGCCGCCTGCCATGATGATATTGACTTTTGTTGTTATTACTTGTTCTTGGGGTTTTCTTGGCAAAATCTCCACAGGGAGTTTGCCATGGCTTTTCTGGGGCTGAGAGTGTGCACATGCATATATTTTTTTAATTTTTTAAATTATTTTTTAATATTTTATTTATTTATTTATTTATTTATTTATTTTTTTTTTTTTAGTGCTTCAGCCCCCCAATTGTCTGAGGGACAGCAACCCGGCCCCTGGCTCAAAAAGGTTGCCTACCCCTGATATAAAGTGTCATTTTTTTTTATTACTTCTAACACTACTACACATTTCTATCACTTCCTTCTCCCCCTCCCTGCAAACAAGCACACAGAAGAACGTTTACAGAAGGAAAGACAAAATGGCTGCACAATGTACTTTGATTGGTAACTCTTGGAGCCCACTATCTGGAAACGTCTGATGCCTGTTACAGCAAAACCAGAAAAGGATCTTTGAGTTGTGGCAACTAAAGGATAACATTCATTACAGTATAAGCTTTTGTGGAATGGGACAAGCTGTGCCAGAGGCATGGAGGTGTTTTGATTAGAAAGATGAACACAAATTGGGTGGGTGGGGGAGAAGAGAAAGATCACGTGTAACCAGTGGGTTTACAAGACCATAAAAAGAAAGGAGTTTAGTAAGACATTCCTAGGTAAACCTCAAACAAACAAGATAAGTGCAATAGCCATTCACAAAGCCAAAAAAAAAAAAAAAAGAAAGAAAGAAAAAATTATTGCTGCTGTGAAAACAACAGAGGCACCTTCTAGGTTAGCAACTGCATTATGACATAGCCCATTTCATCACAGTGCTTTTCTTGTATTGTTAACTGCCTTCACATTGATCTCAACCCATGGCGACCTTATAGATGAGACATCTCCAGGTCCTCCTGTCCTCTACTGGTCTGCCCAGCTCCTGCAAACTCATATTTATGGTCTCTTTAATAACATCTATCCATCTAGCATGTGGCCTTCCTCTCTTTCTACTTCTCTCCACCTTTCCTAACAATATTGTCTTTCCAACAATTCATGCCTTCTCATGTACAACAGTCTTAGCCTTGTCATCTTGGCTTCTAGGGATATTTCTGGCTTGATCTGCTCCAGAACCCATTTGTTTGTCCTTGTGGCTGTCCTAGAGTCCATGGGATCCTCAGGACTCTTCTCCAGCACCACATTATCTCAAATGTATTGATTTTCCTCTTATGTTCTTTTTTGACTGTCCAGCTCTCACATCCATACATGGTAATAGGGAATATGATAGGTTGTATGAGTCTGACCTTTGTGCTGAGTTGTATGTCTTTGCATTTTAGGATCTTTTCTAGTTCTTTCCTAGCTGCCCCCCCCCCCCCATTCCTGTATATTTTACTGTATATTTTAGTGCTTTTCATTTTAAAAATGTGACAGACAGTGAGGTTGGCTCTAATCTATGATAGCTGAAGGCACAATTAATTGCTAGTGTTTTAGGTTGCCACAAGACTCTTTGTTTTGAATTTTGGAGATATGTTTTATACTTAGACTGATCCCTTTTATACCGACAGCATAGTAAAATCCTAGTAGTTTGCTTGAAGAACAAATTGATGAGTGCCTGCCAACTTTTTATCCACAGAGATGGAGAACAAGCAGTAATTTTACTCCCTCTGGAAGTATAACTTCATACCTTTGCAGCTAAAACCGATTCTTCCAGATTGCATTCTCATTCTAGTTCCTTCTTCCCCATCCCAAGTTTTGTAATGCCCACCTTGATGTGTTCTGAAGAACTCAGAAGCTTGCTCCTTCTGTGACATTTTAGTGGCCCTAATAAAGGTATTATTCACATCTGATTTTTTGTTTTATTTTGTTTTTAACTCACAGACTAGATTGGATTTTTGCTTGGTCATCTTCTTCATTCGCCTACCTTTGTCTCCTTTCCCACAAACTGAGGTGTATGTGGACAGAAATTATATTTTATAGTATTTAGACCAAAGGAATTGTCACTGACTTTCAACTTCCTTGGGCTACCCTCATGTAAAACAGGGCTTTTACTCCTAAGAAATGCCATCTGCAACTGCAGCCATTTGATCAAGGATTGCTAAGTCCAATTGACAGGATGTTTCAAAAGCCTGTGGGAGGGGAGAGTTGACATAAAATGCAAGAGGAGGAGATTTTTGTGCCTTTTGGTTGACTCAGTAAAAGTACTGCCACATTTAGATTTTGAATTTTTCTCATGACCTACATGGCTGTTGCTTTTTGTAATGTCATTTGGTTCTTCTGCCCTGCAGAGAAGCACCACCACTGATGATTTCGTTTTTCTTTTTCCACGGCATTAGATCACATCCATGTCTCCGATACCTACTTCATTATGTAAATATTAGTATACTGAAAATTAACAGAAACAACAGACTATATGATTTAGCACATTAATTGGCTCAGTAGGATTGATTAATTTACAATGAATGAAAATTTTTATTTCTTGAAACTGACTGTTCAAATGTCTTGGCTCTCTCTGAAGTAGGAGGAACTCTAAAGTTGCTTCTCCATTCCTCCATTTTTTAATTTTGCCACCACTATCAAGGAATTTGTGCATTCTGCCTAGGAATGGAGATGATTCTAACAGCCAGATTTCATATTTTGAAAATTTGTGTTTTTGGGTGGTGGTGGTGGGCTCTCCACAATTGTCCTTTATGGAGTCAAACTCACAAATATCTCAGTCTGTCTCAGTTTCTGGCAGAGCCTAATTTGAATGCCCTCATACCATTTTATAATAATAATAATAATAATAATAATAATAATAAGAAGAAGAAGAAGAAGAAGAAGAAGTATTTATTTATATAGCACTGTAAGTTTTGCATGGCATTTTACAGAGCTATCAAAACAACATAAAACCTGTCAATGGCATACAGTCTAAAACCACAAAATATAAAATATAGTAAATAGACAATTTATCCTATTAAAATAGCTTTAAAACTATGATACTATAGACCAGGGGTAGGCAAACTAAGGTCCAGGAGCCGGATGTGCCCCCCCCAAGGCCTTTGGACCAGCCCCAGGCTGGTCCTGCCACCGCCCCTGCCATGATGATATTGATTGTTGTTGCTATTACTTGTTCTTGGGGTTTTCTTGACAAAATCTCTACAGGGGTTTTACCATGGCTTTTCTGGGGCTGAGAGAGTGTGCATGCATATTTTTTTATTTCTTTTTAATTTTTATTTATTTATTTATTTTTGGGGCTTCGGCCCCCCCAATTGTTTGAGGGACAGCAACCCGGTCCCCAGCTCAAAAAGGTTGCCTACCCCTGGCATATGGTTACAGTCTTACAATGGGATTTATCTCAGAGGAGTGTGCATGGGATTGCAGCCTTACAGATCATAGTGTCATAGACATAGAAGGCTACAGTGGTATCTCAGTGGTCTCCTACTGTGTTCTGTCTTTAAAATTCACTTTAGGATGATTACTTTAAGATCTGATAAAACACATAAACATACATAGGCCAAACTGGACAGCAATAGAGAAAGATAAGATAAGAAATGAAGTCAAATTTGACATTAAAAACACAGAACAGGCTGAAGGAGAAAATGTTAATCTTCCTAGCCTTTCATTTACTAGACTTTTTGCTTCATTCAGAAGGTTGACTTAGCAATATTAAATAAAATAATGTATAGTATCACTGCTACAACTATTCTGTTCCCCAGTCTATAAACTTATTTTAAAAAAGTACATGCCAGTATAAGATCAGAGTTAAGGGTACTATATCAGATAACCAGCTGAATAGATTCAGATTTAGCTGACAAACCCATTCTCTCATGTCCACTCTTTCAAGCAATTTAACATTGTTTATTTTTATTTAAATTGCATATAAAAATAGAAGGGGGGATAGCCCTATTGGAAGAACCAGTGTGTTGTAGTGGTTTGAGTGTTGGACTATGACTCTAAAGATCAGGGTTCAATTCCCTGTTCAAACAAAAAAAAAACCCACTGGGTGACCTTCACCATAAGTCAAAAATGACTTAGAGGCACACAACAAAAACGGCAACCACAACCCTATTAGGAAAGCCAGTGTGGTGTAGTGGTTTGAATCTTGGATTACAACTCTGGAGACGAAGTTTCAAATCTCTGCTTGGCCATAGAAATCCACTGGATGACATTGGGCAAGTCACACTCTCTCAGCCTCAGAGGAAGCAAAGGCAAAAGCCCTTCTGGAGAAATCTTGCCAAGAAAACCCCATGACAGGGTCACCTTAGGCTCACCATTAGTCAGAAATGACTTGATGACACACAACAGCCCTGTTAGTCTACAGTTATCAGAAACAATAAGGATCTATGGCACTTTAAATAGTAGCTTTGACTAGCAAAAATTTCTGTCAGTGGTGGAATCATGAAACCATCCAGATTTTCTGGACTCAACTCCTATCATAGCGCAAGGTGAGGAATGCTGGTCGCTGCAGTTTAATAATATCAGTTCCTTGCCCATTACTGATTTAGGCCATAGATCTCCATCCTCTGTTGAAATATATAAGGAAATGATTGCAGGAAACAAATTCAAGAGTCGTGAACTGAAGTTGGGTTCAGGGCAACTTGTGCAGATAAAAATGCAAATAATCTCCTAACTTCACATGAATCGTATGGTTTCCCCTCCTCACCCAAGAACCCACCCCAGTTTATGCCATAATAAAAACAGTCACTAAATTCAGACTCTTTGTTGTTGTTATTGTGGTGACTGAGATACAGACCTCCCAACTGTGACAAAATGGTTACTGTCCTTTTAGAATATGTTGAAGACTGTGTCTGTATTTAAGATTATAGACAATCTTGACTTACCTAGTTCTGTTCTCCTCTCTTGAGGCCTTGCAATCTAGTGTTTAAAAAAAGTGGTTGGAACCAGTATTAAGGCAGAAGTCAGCCTTAATTTGCAATTGAGGGGTTTGGACTCTTCAAGGAAGAGTGACAGATATTGGCAAATGGGGGGGGGAGCCCTAAATTATAATGGAAATTGTAGTATGACAGGTAAGAGAATAGGGCAGTCCTGTGCCTCAGCTCCTTTAGACTGATTTAAAACATGTTCGTCTTAAAGCTGACACAGCTGCCTCTTTGAAAAGTTCTACAACATTAAAGCTGCAGGCATACAGCATATATAGATATATAAGTGGAGGGATCAGAATTAAATGGGGGCACAGTAAGAAGCATTTGGGCCACTAGTCATAACCTGTAATAAACAGGTTGGCTCCACTCCAGGAACACAAGCCTCCAGCAAATTCAGAAAAAGCTTTATTCAGTAAGCAAAATAGATCACAGTGCATAGTTGGTGTCAGGACTGTTCTACCACCCCACTTACACCATATACCTAAGACTTCAAACAATTCACTGGTTACAAAATTCCAGTTGTCAGCAACAGTTAAAACATACTGCCTTCCCTGATCTTACCCTTCTTTCTCCAATCCTCACCCCAAAGCTACAGCTTCCCGCAAGAAGGACCTTTGCTGCACATACCTCTTCTCCCCACATCCGCTCATTATCCCAGGCCATTACTGATACAATATTTCCCTTTCCCAGCATCACCAATAGGAGAGCATAACCCATCATTCCACATTAACACACATATGCCTAGGCACAGCAGTTAAGCATGGCAGGACCATGTTTGGACCATCAGCCTGGCATAAACTGTCTTATTGTTTCCAATAAGAGACCCCCTGACCACAGAAACAGCAATCTAGAAATTAGAAGAAGGCTAGGATTGGGAAGGGGGGCTATGAAAGAACTCGATACAATCCTGGATATATATCTCTTAAACACTAAAGTGAGGATCATCGAAGTCATTGTATTCCCTATCACTATATGTGAATATGAGAGCAGGACAATGAAGAAAATGGATAGAGAGAACTCATTTGGGATGTGGCGCTGGAGAAGAGTACTGAGGATACTGTGGATGGCCAAGAAGACTAACAAATGGGTCCTTGAACAGATCAAGCCTAAAATCTCCCTAGAAGCCAAGATGATAAAACTGAGGCTGGTGCATTTTGGCCACATAATGAGAAGGCACGAGCAATAGCATTTACATTTCTATACTGCTTCATGATGAACTCAGCACTCTCTAAGCCAGGGGTAGGCCACCTTTCCCCTTTAAGGGCCGAAGGACTTCAGCTCCCAGAATCCCAGGAGCTACTGGCCAACATGGCTGAGGCTTCTGGGAGCTGAAGTCCCTCGGCCCTTAAAGGGGAAAGGTTGCCTACCCCTGCTCTAAGCGGTTTACAATCTGTAAGCCAATTGCCCCCAACAAGTTGGGTACTCATTTTACTGACCTACAAAAGGATGGAAGACTGAGTCAACCTTGGAGCCCTGGGATCGAATTCACAACCTTGTGGCTGCGGTACTGGCATTTAACCACTGCACCATCAGGGCTCCTTTATTCATTAAACTCATTAGGAAAGACAATAGTACTAGGGAAGGTAGAAGGTAGTAGAAAAAGAGGAAGACCACACAATATATGGACAGACTCAATCAGGGAGGACATGGGCTTGAACTTGCAGGACCAGAGCAGAGCAACTGAGGACAGAGGGCCTTGGAGATGTTTCATCCAAAGGGTTTCCTCAACTGCTCTGCTCTGGTCCTGCAAGTTCAAGCCCATGTCCTCCCTGATTGAGGGCCTGAACAGACTGCCAGAAATAATCCAGTTTGAGACCACTTTAAATGTCCTGGCTCAGTGCTAGGGAACCATGGGAACTGTAGTTATTGTGGCACCAGAGCTCCCTCTCAGAGAAGGCTCAATGTCTCAGAAAAAAATACAATTCCCATGCTCCCTAGCATTGAGCCAGGACAGTTAAAATGGTCTCAAGCTGCATTATTTCTGGTAGTCTGTTCAGGCCCTGAGTCCATCCACATATTGTGTGGTCTTCCTCTCTTTCTTCTACCTTCACTAGTACTAGGATCAACTTGTTAAACAACAACTACTAGCTGATGAAGTAGACTTTAAGACTACAAAAATGTATGCTATTAACTTCTTCAGTTAGTCTTAAAGGTACTGGAAAACTCTTTGCAACTAACAGCCTGGCAAACCTGTATCTATCCACAGAAGCTATCCTGCACAATTGCTTTATAATAGCTAATACCCCAGAGGACAGAATCAAAATTCAAAATGACTTGAATAGACTAGAAAGCTGGGCCAAAGTAAACAAAATGAAATTCACCACGGAGGAATGTAAGGGCGGAAAAACAAAGAGCACAGATATACAATGGGGGACACCTGGCT